TTTATATAAAAAGTTATAAATTAATTAAAAAATTAAGTTACTTGAATGGTTTAGAAATGTGATAATAACATTTTGATGCCCACCAGGTTCAAACACGTGTTTCCATTGTGATGGGTGAAGTGACAAACCAATCCAGCCACTACACTTACCTTGTTAGATCATCACACCATATTATATTTATTCATATATGTTAAACCGGCGATTTGAATGGTTAAACCAATTAAACCAGTCAAACCGAGAACCAAAAGTCAAAACGGTTTGACTTCCAAGTCAGTTTTCAAAACATTGGTTTATAATATTCTGTTAATTTTATTAATTAACTGTTAATTGACTATTATCAATAGGTTGCATATATCCATTATATACAAATTTTACCTATTATTAAATAAATAAATACAATTAATATCACATGTCTCAAATAAATAAAACATATAATATAATAAAAAAAATGGTAAAGCTTCCATGAGAAGCTTATTGCAGTTTTTTTTTTTGGAATTCTAACATTTTCTTGGGCCTTTATTTTAAATATTGCTACATATACCCATTGTATACAATTTTTATATATTATTAAATAAATTAATACACTTATGTTATGTTCAGTAAGCACTCTTGAATTGACAACCTTATTATCTAAGATTTTGTAAAATTGTATACAATGGCTATATGCAGTAATCTTTAACAATAAAGTCCCAAAAAAAATGTTAGAATTCTAAAGAAATGCAATAAGCTTCTCCGGGAAACTTTATCATTTTTTTATTATATTATGCATTTTATTCATTGTTTTTATTTATTTGGGATATCTGATATTAATTGTATTTATTTATTTAATAATAGATAAAAGTTGTATACAATGGATATATGTAGCAATCTTTAAAAATAAAGACCTAAACCATTTTTTTATCATATTATGTATTGTATTCATTTTTTTATTTATTTGAGACCTATAATATTAATTGTATATATTTACTTATTTAATAATATGTAAAATATATGCAATAGTCTTTAAAAATAAAGGTCCAAACCATTTTTTTATTATATTATGTATTTTATTCATTCTTTTTATTTATTTGAGACCTATAATATTAATTTTATCTATTTATTTAATAATTATAAAAGTTGTATACAATGGATATATGCAACCTATTGATAATAGTTAACTAACAATCAGCTAACAAACTTAACAGTTAGCTAACAAAACTAATGGTACATTATTAATTGAGTGCTATTTTCTTTAATTCGTATAGGTGAGAAGCTAAAAGTGTCATAATATATGGTGAGGGGTTAAAACTTACAAATTTATTAAAGTAAAAGATTAAAAGTAGATTTTTCCCCAAGTTATGGAAACAAAAAATGGATACATTTTACCCTCTATATAATTATTATACATTAAATAATATATTTAAAAAATAAATTACTTTTGAAAATTTTAAATTAAAAATTAAATTAATGAAAGTTGATACAGAATGAGTAATTACTAAATGTAAGATTTGAGAGAATCTAAATAATAATTGATAGTAAAATTATTACTAGTTTTGTTTTGTTATCTTTTTACTATATGAAATAGTTGGTTAAACTAATTCAATTAGAAAATGTTTTTGCAATGAAAATTTAGAAAAGAAAACACATTATATGTGATTAGGTAATTGATTAAATAGGAAGCATGACATAGAAACTAAATTCAATTGAGCTATCCTCAACCTGTCTTACTCA